CCTTGAGCTAGTCAAGAGACCCAAATTCTTGGATCAGGGCATTTGATCTTAAAAAAAATCTCCTTTCTCTAAAGGCTTATCATTTCTGTTCCCCCCCTACTTCTTCAGAATGAAATGGAAGAGTAGAAACGACAGATAAAGATGAGGAGTAACCAACTCTCAGTAATCCTGAGATTGACTGGGATTCTCTTGGCCCTCACTCTCCCCGTTTTTGGCCCCTGCCATTCCTGAAGTGGATGAGTACAGAAAGAAAGTGATGGTAGTAAAGGAAAAGTAGGACCGTAATAGCTGAAGTAAGGCTTTTGGATTATCCATCGATTTGGTTGCTTATTCACTGTTCCCCCCACGATGGCAGCTATCAAGAGTTTACTATAATTTACCAAGGATTTTGGGGAGATGTCCATTTTCGAGGCCATCAGTGCCCAAGAATTTTCAAACTACTTCATTTCTTCTGAGAACTCGAAAGTAGTTCTGAATGCTATCTACCTTTACACATAACAGTCCTAAATTCAACAAGTGTCACTGGCACTTTTAACCTGTAGTTAAATCTCTGCAAGGTAGGCAAAAATAGAAGACAATGGAAGTTAGGATCTTGCTCTCTTGGAGTTTTCAGTCTAGTTCGATGAATTGCCAAGAATGAAGGATGAAGTGTTAGAGAATAAGAAATCAGGAGTAGTCAGGAATGGTCCTGCTGATGCCATTGTGCTTTTCACCCATCCCTGAACAGCAGTCCTTTGAGAAACAAGGTTTTCATTCTGGAACTCCTGCTGCCTCCTTCAACTTGCCTTCAGCCCTGGGGAGTGGAGGGCCTATCAATCCGGCCACAGCCGCTGCCTATCCGCCAGCCCCTTTTATGCACATCCTGACCCCCCATCAGCAGCCACACTCCCAGATCCTCCATCACCACCTGCAGCAGGATGGCCAGGTAACACACTATTCCCCTCTTGTCTTTCTTCCCCCACTGATCCTTTTCCCTACCACTCCTTAAAGCTGCCTCCCCCCTTCCCTCTTCCCTTCCCTTTCCCCATCTATCCCCAGCGCCGGCCATGGGCACACAACACACACAGACACAAGCGTACATGACACAAGCTGCCGGCAAGGGAGTTGACAGAGAGGGGGCCACGTTGGGGAGCTCTTTTCTCAGCCTGATAGGTACCTGGAGGGAGTTTGAGTCCCCTCCCCACTGTGGCACATTTTGTCCCCTATATTTTCCCAATAGCCCTGGACCATGCCCCACCCCTCCCCAATCCTGCCACTATAGCTTTCCCTTCTAACCATGGATTTCTATTGTCAAAGTTTGTCCCTTTATTTTCCATATATCCTGGTTCTGCCTCAGCTACCATATTTGCAGATGATTCTCTGTTGCCAGCGCCAGCAGGAGGAGCAGGTAATGAAACTCTCTGAATGATATAATTGTACCTACCCCCTGCCAGTCCCAAACCCCACTTGCCACAGCCCTGGGGAAATCAAGGAGAAGAAAGATTGCGCGGCCACAAATCGGGATACACAGACACACATAGACACACTCACACACCTTGCTGGGCTCTCCGGCCTCCCCTTCCCTTCTCCTCCTCTCCTTTTCTCTCTTCCCAATTGTAGAAGGCACTTGGCTATTAGAATGGATAGGGTTCTTGGGAAAGCATCTGAATCTTGGGGACCATAGACAAGTCTCCCCACACTACCCTGCTTAGTATATAGGTGTCCAGTGATGTGATGGGGGCGGGGCAGTGGAAGGGGTGTTGTGGAGCCCGTTCTGTTAGTGCCCTATCTCCACAGCGGAAGGCTGTGCTCCCTTGTTTCGAACAGTGCCCCCTTATTTCTAAGGCAGTGCAAATAAGGAATCACACGGATCAAAATCAGTTAAACCAGCTCTTGACCACTCATCTGAGAATCTTTTTCCAGATGAGTGGCCTTTTTGGTGAGGTGGAGGGGTAAGATGGAGAATGAGCAGAAACTGACATAGGCCCTTAGATGAGCTCTGAAGACATCTTGCCCTCTGCATTTTCTTCTTGTCTTGAAATCAGAATTGTGCTATTGCTGACCAGAGAGGGACTAGAACTTCCAAGGGTTCCACCGATTATGCAGACAACAACTTCTTTGGATTAAGGGCTTAAGGGAAAGTGTAGCCTTTGAATGATCTTTTGGCAGTGTAGCCTTTGAATGATCTTTTGGCAGGAGGAGAAATGGAGGAACTTGACAGTTCCCAGGCCTTCCCACCCAAAGGTCCCTGCTAATTGGCCTCCTTTCTCCTCCCTGTCCTCCCCCTCCCCCCCCAACATCCCTTCCCCTGCAGACGGGCAGCGGGCAACGTAGCCAGACCAGCTCCATCCCGCAGAAGCCCCAGAGCAGCAAGTCTGCCTACAACAGCTACAGCTGGGGGGCCAACTGAGGCCCTGGCCCTCTTCACCTCTTTGGCCCCCCTACCTGGCGAGAGGGCCTCTCAGCCTGGCACCTAAGGAAACAGCTACAACACAAAAGCACGTGGAGCGGAGGGTCCTGCTGCCCCCCCTGCAGCCTGCCCCAGGCCTCAGCTTCACTTCTGAAGGCCCATTTCTTTCCTCTCCTACCTATCCTCTTGTATGTAATATAGGATTTGTATTTTTTTCCTTTCTCTTTTTTCTTCTCTCCCTACATTACCCCTGCATTCAAGATTATGAAACTCTTTGCTGTGGGCTCTGGCCTTCCTCTTCCTCTTCCTGCTCACCCTGGTGGTGGGAAGTGGCTGGGGGAGAGGACTCCAAATAGATATCATCAGCCCAACAGCCCTAAGTCTCCCTTTTTATTATTAGGAAAACAAAACAAAAAAGTCATGAATATGAACAGAATTGTCAGATGAATTAGTTGAAGTGGTTTTTTTTTTGTACTGTGTCCTCAAATTTAATGGATTAATGTGTCTTGTATATATAAAAAGAAAACCTCTACCTTCAGCCTCTGCCCATTCTTGCTTCGTCTAGGATGTCCTCAGTCTCCCTGATGACCAGCTGGGTGAATAAGTATTACTGTACCAACTGGGCCTCTACTAGCAGGCTCCGAAGGCAGTGGAATAAAATGAAATCTTCGCCCTTTAACAACTCCTAACCATGATGTGCCGGTGTCCCCTTCTTCCTGACCCTGAGAGTCATTCAGCTCAATTCTCAGAAGTACCTCACCTTTAGTGTTAAACTAGGGAGTGAGAAGGGCAGTGGGGAGAAACTGGGTTGGAAACAATATTTTCAGACAGAAAAGCAATGGAACATGGGCTGCTCTAAACATTACTTGGGAAGCACCCAGGAGAAGGGTACACAACACTGGCAGAACCAGTTTGTGGTTTTCTTTTTCCTTGGGGTTGAAGACCATACTAGTTCTTGCCGTTCTCCCAAAGAGGCTCCTGAACTTTTCTCATTGAGGGTCTTGTTTAGGTAGAAAGTGGTGGGAATAGAGAGCATACTTGGAGAGGGGTAGTGGGGGAAGGTAGCAATAAACTCATCTGACCCCTCCCCCTGGCCACCACACAACTCCAGCTTCCCTTTCCATCGAATCATTGCTATCCTAGGGGCCAAAGGAAAGCTAACCCTCTTGTTTCTACAAAGTTTAATAATTAAGGGTGATGATGGAGTAAATCTGTGTCTTCATGTCTCCAATTGCCTTTGTTAACATGGAAAGCACCTTGAAGACGTCTTGTTTTTAGACATAACAGCCTGTCAAGAATCAGAATTTAAAACGTCAGAGCTGACAGCACCTTGGAGATGGTCACCTGGATCTCATCCAATGAGGAGCCCAGTTCTGTTGAGGGTTTTTTTTTTTTTGGTGGGACACACAATTTACCCACTATTCCACTGAGGAGTTTCCCCAGCTTCTCGTGTCCCTTTCTGATTTAAACAACTGCTAACCACGAGGGGCTGGCGGGAAACCCTATTCTCTGGGCCCCAGTGATGAGTCTTCCCGTTTCCCCCAAAGGAGACCTCGGTTCAGCCCACGTATCCTGGCAAGGCTTTGGGGGCAATTAGGTCGGGCAGGGGTGGGGGGATGGACGTAGGAGGGCGCCTCGAAAGGTAGGAGAATTTTTGTTTGTTTTTTCTTTTTCTTTGTGAGGCAATTGGGGTTAAGTGACTTGCCCAGTCACACAGCTAGTGAGTTTTCATGTGTTTGAGGTCGCATTTGAACTCGGGTCCTCCTGACTCCAGAGCCGGACCTCTATCTGCCCCCGAAATGTAGGTTTGTGCCGAGGCCCTGCACTGTTTCTAGCTTAGGTTTCCTGACCAGACCAAGCCCCAGCCCTCTTCCTGCCCGAGGTCTCGAAGCAACTCCAACGTAAGGGGTTCTGGGTTTCCTGTTGCACCGGCTGTTCTCTGCCCTGCTCCCCTCCCAGGACGCAGGGCTTCTGGGCTCTCAAGCATGGTAGGGCTGGGTACCCAGGGTCTTCGGTAGAGACAAAGCCTCTGGAGGGGCGGGGGCGTCAAATCACTCAGTGCAGTAGGGCCGGGGAGCAGGAGCTGAGCTGAGCTGATGACACCCCGGGTGCGATCCCTAAAGGCACCCCCGGGCAGCGGCCGGGAGGGCAAAGACGCACGGATGAAAGGATGCAGGGTTTCTGCTTCCATAACCACTTGTCTCTGAAAGCCTCTGCGAGATGAGGAGAAGACCCTAATAACCGGGAAGCCCCCCCCCCTTACTGAACCACGGATAGCTTCATGGCAGTAAGACCCCGACCTCCTTCGCCTCGGCTCGGACATGCTCTGCCTCCGTCCGGTTCTGTCCCACCTCCTGTCTATCGCCCTACCCCTTGGTCCAGCCTCCCTCCGGTCTCGCCGCTCCCACCTTCCCATGAGCCCGCTCTCACGTTCCTTTTACGACATTGTGACTAGTTTTCCATCAGTGTCGGGACGACCCTAAAGTCTAGATCAACTGTAACGTGGCCAGTCTGCCGGCTCTCCTCGCTTTCCAGTAGTGCGGTCGTACTGCTCTCTCGCTTTTCGGCAGTGTGGCTGGATCGACCCGCCCACCCCCGGTTCTAAGATCACTTTCCGGCAGTGTGGCGGATCCCCGCGGTCCGGTGCCCTCCCGGGCCTTGGGTTAAGGGGAGGTGGAGGGTTCGAGTCCCGCCTGAGGGATGAGCCTATTCGACTTTTTCCGGGGCTTTTTCGGATTCCCGGGACCTCAGAGGTGAGAGTGGGGCCCGAACGGGTAAGGGGGGAGGGCGGCCTTCCGACGGGGAGGCCAAACACCTCCCTCTATCTCCCCCGACGACTATACGGTACACCTGGCCAAACTATCCCAACAGGTGGCGGCGGTGGGGGTGGGTGTCACACACACAGACTTCCCCCTTTTCCGTCTTTCCCCCCACCACTCTCAGGATCATGAGGTCACCTGAAGCACTGGCTTATCCAGCCTAGCCTGATTTAGGAGAGTGATGAGGAGTAGGGGGGGCGGCCCCCCTCCTCCAGGGGACACACAACTGCACATTCTGTTAAAAACACTAATGCACAAAACGTAGCAGCCCCGACGTTTGCAGCGTTTTCCCCAGAGCCACTGGCTTGCTGTAGTTGCCTTTTGGTGTCGACATCTTTGTGGTTCTTTCTCTACCTCCCAGACCCAGGGATCCCTTCTTTGGAGGGATGACTAGAGAAGAAGATGATGAAGATGAGGAGGAAGAAGGAGGAGGAGGTACCTGGGGTCCCCGGTTTGGAAGCCCCAGATCCCCCCGAGGACTACACTTTTGGCTTTAGTTTTGGCCCTCAAGATGAGATGCGTTTCCACGATAACTTTGGCTTTGACGAACTGATTCGGGACTTCAACCGTATTTTCGGAGACATGGGGGCCTGGACCCTGCCCTCCCGCCCCCCTGGTGGGTGTGGTCCCCTCAGCACTTTGATAACCTGGCCTCCAGTACTGCAGCCCGGAGAAAGTTTGGGGGCACGAAGGAGAAGGGTGTGAGGGGACTAGCGGAGAAATGACTTTGGGGAGGCAGAGGAAACACAAGGCTTCCCCCCACCCCAGCCCTGATTTTCCATTCCGCTTTTGCAGAGCTCCCAGGCCCAGAGCCAGAGGCCCCAAATGAGAGACGCAGGGAGGGGGAAACCATCCGGGATTCGATGCTCAAGTATCCAGATAGTCACCGGGCTAGGATTTTCAGCCGGGACTCGGAGAGTGATCTGGGGCACTCACCTCCCAAAGTAGTCCCAGACTGGGACTCCAAGAGGCCTTTTCCTGGGGTGAGTCCCGTTGCCCTTGAAAATCCAGTTAAACCTTTGCCTAAGGGACTTGGGAGAAATCGCCTGGGATGAGATTCCTAAATCTCAGGGAACTCTTAGTCTAATGGAGGAGAAAGAACATGCACCTTCCAAGACTGATAGTCCAACCTGACGGAACTTTAAACATTAGTACATTAGTGCTGGGGCCCTGTGAGGGCAGAGCAGGATTGAGAGGGGCAGAGCTTGGCAAGGTGGGGAATGATGAGCCCTGGAAGGCGGGGCAAGTTCAGTGAGGGACCTGTAGAAGTCAGACACCACAGAGGTCTACATTTAGTCTACCATTTACAGATAAAGGGATAGACCCAAAGAAGTGAACCTTGTGATTTGTCCAAGGTCACAGAATAAGTGGGGGAGCCAGAATTCAAAACCTCGGTCCCCTGATTTGAAATCCATTGCCCTTGTCACTATACCACAGTGAGCCCCGAGGTAGAGGGTAGTTCAGGAAGGGGGCAGGGCAGATGATGGAGTTGGGGGGCTATGGGTTGCTTCTCTTCAAAAGGGGCCCCTTTCATCAGCTGTGGCTCCTTTTGCAGTTTGATGACATGTGGCCAGTGACCCCTGATACTGCAAATAGAGAGGACAAGGGTAAGTCTGAGGGAAGGGGTCCCTGATTACCTTCTTTGAAGTTTTACACACACCCTTTACACACTCAAGTTCACTTCTTAACCCAGAACATTTCCAGCTTGCTTCCTGAGTATCTCATACCCCTCCCAACTTTGTTTTTCTTTCATGCCTCATCTCTTCTCTCCCCCCCGCCCCAACCAGATCTTGATTCCCGGGTCTCACAGGAGGGTTTGGGTCAAGTCCTACAGCCCCAGCCTAAATCGTACTTCAGAAGTGTCTCCGTTACCAAAATCACTGGACCAGATGGGGTGAGCTAGATGGCATGGTTTGGGGGGTTGTGAAGGGCTGGGGTCCATGGAAAATGTCATCTGTTCTGATCTGGAATGAGTGGGGTGGCTGTTCCCACAGACGGTGGAGGAGCGACGGACTGTCGTAGATAGTGAGGGCCACAAAGAAACCACAGTAACCCGTCGAGAAGCAGATGGCAGTTCTAGAGATGGTGAGTCAGGGAGGGAAGGGATTGGTGAGACCATCCCTGAGCTACAGGGGTGAAAGACCCTTGAAGGAGGAGCTGAGTTAATTGGGCTGTCTTCTCCTCTAATTCTCCTTTTGCTCTCCCTAGTTCCTTCCTACACTGTATAAGGCTCTATCCTGTTCCCCCTTTCCCCTCTTGACCTCTCAAATACATTCAACAAACTTTTATTAAACATCTACTACTGTGTTAGAACCTGGGGAGGTAAAGACAAAAATAAAATCATTCTGCCTTTAAGGGTGCCACATTCTAATGGGGGAAACCACATGTGCACAGATAAGTAAAAAAAGCACTCAAAGTTATTCTGTCAACCAGACAAGGGGATCAGCCCTTGCAAAGGCCTGGAGCTAGGGGAAGAAAGGTATTTTACAGGGAACAGCAAATAGCCAGGTGTGCCTGGAATTCAGGATACTCCATCTGACACACTTCTGGTTCATCCCTTCCTACCTGGATGTATCACTCTCCTCCAGATTCAGGCACCCCACGGCCTCCAGACTTGGGGGACAGCTCTACCATCCTGGATTCATTCCTAAGACGATGGTTCCGGTCTTGGTAGCCCAAGTTGACTTCGTGGAGTACTCCATCCCTCCCCTCCTCACCCCACTCATTACTATCTGGGGTTCCTGATATCACTAGCTGGCTCAGCTGCTTTTCCTGCCACAGTGAGAGCATTGGGAGGGGCGGGGGTAAGGAATTTGACAGGTAAAGGAAAAGGTACCCTCCACTCTCCCCCCTCCCCCCCAAATAAAATCTTTATTTATGCTATTGCCTCAGTCTCTTGGTGTACCTAGTTCCCTCTAAGGCCTGTCCTGGGCCTTTTGTTTCTCTTTGATCTGCCTCCACCTCCTAATGAATGAGAATCAAGTATAAATATTCTTGTATTCTTGTACTTGAATCAAGTATTAACATTCCTAGTGGGGAACATTCCTCACTAGGAAATAAAGTTGCTGGAATCAAACTTGTAAAAAATCACAACAGTCCTAACCCAAGACATCTACTAAGAAGTAGCTGATGTTATCAAATGCTGGCGATTTGGTAGGGCCTGCAGAGAAGGAGACCAGTGGCTTAAAGAGAGGTTAGGGGAGGCAGTCTATTCAGTCTTGGTTGTTTCAAATTTTCACATAGGATCATAGGCTTGGAGGACCTTAGAGGTCATTATACCAACATCTTCATTTTATTTTTATACTCTAAACTTAAATATTTAAATACACATAGCAGATTGTGCAAAGGAATCTATGAAATCCTAAATCTCCATTTCATACTGCTTGCATTTTTTTAAAGGTATAGAACAAATTCTGTTAACTTCAAAACTGCCCTTCTTGTCTGTTCTTTTTGTGCATTAATTAAAAAAAAACAACCAAACTTTTTAGTGGGCCTCTTTTTCTTTGTGTTACTAATGCTAGCTTTCTCCTCTTCCCTCCCCAAACCTCCCCTCCCTAATCAACAGGAAGAAAAACACAAAACTCTTGAGAGAAATAAGCATAGTCAAGCAAAATGAGTTCACACAGTAGCTAGGTCCACAAATATTTATGTTTCTTCACCTTGTGTTCAGCACCTCTCCATCAGGCGGTGGATAACATGCTTCATCTGTAAGTCCTCTGGAGACATTGCTCTGCATGTTCTTGAGTCTTTCAGAGTTCTTTTTCTTTATGTTAGTTCCTCATATAAATTGGTTTCCTAGTTCGGCTCATTTCATTCTGTATTGGTTCATACTATCCAGGATTTTCTGAATTGCCTCTCTCATGATTTCTTACAATATAATAATATTCCCGTAGGTTCATATATCACAACTTGTTCATTCATTCCACAGTTATTTAGGGGGCATTTTAAGGTACCCCTTTAACCTCTAGTTCTTTGTTTACTTCCCCTTCTTACTTTCCCTTTTAAGGCTGGAAGTTTTGCTTATAGCTATTCCCTCCCAGGTATTCTCCCTCTTTTTTTTTTTCCTTCTCCCTTTTCCCCTGCCCTAGAGATGGCTACCATTAGATAAAAATAGGTATATATATATATATAAAATGATTCTATATATACTTCTTTTCATCAGTTCTTTCTCTGGATGCAGAAAGTGTTTTTCTTTGTATGTCTTTTATTTTTAATTTGTGTATGATAGTCAAAATGATCATGTCACTCAAAGTCATTCTTAAGACAGTATCATTAAGGGGCAGCTAGGTGGTGCAGTGGATAGAGAACCAGCCCTGAAGTCAGGAGGACCCAAGTTCAAATCCAGTCTCAGACCAAACACTTGACACTTAACTTAGCTGTGTGACCCTGGGCAAGTCACTTAACTCCAATTGCCAGGAAAAAAAAGACAGTATCATTAACTACTATCCTATCTCTACTTTTTTCCTTCCTGAGTTTGATGTATTTCTATACCAAACTGTGTACCTATTTATGACTTTCAGCCTCCATTCTTCCATTTCAGATAAAAATGAGAGATGATACACAGTTTAACTTCTTCATGTTTATATATTCTCCTGCACCCCAAACATTCAAAATAGGAAGTTCTGCCCCCTTCTTCCCCCTTTGTACATGAGTTTTACCCTTACGTCTTTCCTTTAAGCCCTCAAAACAGAACTAATCCATTATGAAGACCTCTGTTTTTCTTATTTAACTCCCTTAAAGCCCTTTGAAGACATTAAATTTCTTTTTTTAAAACTGTTTTTTTCCAATTATATGTAAATAGTTTTCAACATTCATCTTTGTAAGATCTGAGTTCCAAATTTTTCTTCCTCCCTCCTTTCCTTCTCCCCTCCCCAAGACAGCAAGCAATCTGATTTGTTATAGATGTACAGTCATGTTAAACATATTTCCACATTAGTCATGTTGTGAAAGAATCAGAACAAAAGTGAAAAACCACAAGAAAGAAAAAACAGTGAAAACAGTATGCTTCCATCTACATTCAGACTCCATAGTTCTTTTTCTGGATGTGGTTAGCATTTTCCATCATAAGGAAGACATTAAAGTTTTGCAGGGATACTTTTCTTCTCCTGTTAGAATATTAGCACTGCATCATCCTTCCAATTATTCAAATAAGTTTTCCTTTCTATGTTTCTTTGTAGTCTTGTGCCTGTATTTCAAAGTTTTTACTCAGCTTTTTTATTTTCACCAGAAATGTTTAAAGGTCCTATACTCCTTAAATAGTCCATTTTCCCCCTGTAGAATTATGTTTGGCTTTGTGAAGTTAAATTATTCTTGGTTGTAAGTCTGTCTCTTTTGCTTTTTGGAATATTTGTAGGCCAAAGTCTCTCCTTTACTGTAGAGGTTTCCTTCCAGGTCTTGGGTGATTGTCTGTGGTCTTCTGGTACTTTTTTTTTTGACATGGCAGCTTTTGTTCTTGGCTATGACATTTCTTGGATTTCTTTCAGAGTTTCAAGAAGTGGTTGGTGAATTCTGTCTTCACTTTGTCTACTGATTCTAATGGATTCAGGAAATTTTCATTTATGTCTTGAAGTATAGTGACTGGAGTTTTTAAAAAAAAAAAGATGGTTTTTCCCAGCTAATCCAATGATTCTTTTTTTCTAAAAACTATTTATTTTGACAAGCATTAATTTCCCATTTGCTGCCCCTCCACTTGAACAGTTAAAACAACAAAAATAAAAACCTTTTAATAAATATACATAGTCCAGCAAAACAAATTTCTAGAGCCTATGTCCAAAAATGTATGTGACTCTGCACTTTAATTTCAGTACCTCTTTGGTAGGAGATAGGTATAGTGTTTTAAATTTTCTCTCCTTGACCTGTTTTCCAGGTCAGTTACTTTTCCTGTCAGATATCTTATACTTTCTTTTGTATTTTTAATGTTTTGATTTTCTAATATTTCTTGCTATCTCATGGAGCAACTGATTCCTGTTTGGGAAACTATTTAATTTCCTTCCAGTTTTTTTCCTCCAGAGCTTTAATTTCATTTTTTCTTATTCACTGTTTCATTTCTTCTAAGTATTCATGTACTCCTTGTGGAAAGATCTAATTTTTTCTTTTGAGTTTACAGTTGTTACAGAGTTGCCATTCTCTTTTGGAAGACTCTTTAGATTTGTAATAGTTTTTTATACCGGTCAATATTTCTAAAAATGTATTCATGTCTCCAGCTTTAGTTTCTGAATTGGACCTTTATGCTAGGGCCAGGTGCCATCCCTTGCTGAACTCTGGGCTGTGATGCTTGGCCCTCTTTGATCTGGAGTCGGGAGGACCTGAGTTCAAATTCGGCCTCCTGGATTCCTGTGCTGACTTTCACTTCCCAGGGACAAGTATAACCAAGGTTTAGGCACCTTCTGGGTTTCTGCATTCAGAACACTGGATCTTGAAGGCTTTCTCTGGCATCTCAGGACAAAGTGCTCGGGATGTCAGAGCCCCAGTCTGAGCGTCACCTTGCTTTGCTGGTTGCTGCCACTGGGTTCTTGCTCCCTTGGCTTCAAAAGCCTTCATTCTCAGGCTTTCTGACCCCCTTGGGGTTTTCTCAGGGGAGCCCTCTGCTTTTGCTGCCTCTGTACACAGAGCCTCAAAAGCTACATGTGGCCCTGGCCCTCTCTGGTCCCACTGGGAGGCTATCTTGTGGTGACTCTGGTGTTGTCGATGGCCCTATTGCCCTTGGGTGTATGGCAGACTTTTGTGCAATTCTGGGATGGGACAAGTCACAGTAGTTCTCTACTGGATTCGTGTGTGTGTGTGTGTGTGTGTGTGTGTGTGTGTGTGTTGTTGAGGCAATGGGGGGGGTGAACTGATTGCCTAGGGTCACACACAGCTAGTAAGTGTCCAGTGTCTGATGCCAAATTTGAACTCAGGTCCTCCTGACTCCAGGGCTGGCGGTCTATCCACTGCACCACCTAGCTGCCCCTTCACTGGATTTCTTGATGATTATTCAGACTGGTGTAAAGTTCAGGGCTTTACTGGAATAGACATTTGCTAGCTTGGCAGCCTGCTTCCCTTTCAGGAAAGGAAAAGTAGGTGCAGAGATGAAATGACTTGTCTAAGGTCATGCTGGGGGGTTAAGTGATGTAGCTAGGATTTGAACCTGAGTCCTTTGACTTAAAATCTAATTTATTTTTCATTGTACCATACCTCCTCTTAAATAAGGCAATTAGTATGAAAGATGGAGGGACATACTGGGTAAAGGATTAGGGGACAGACAAGCTTTAAAGGGAAAATCACATATAAGAGCCAGAGTGGAAGACAGACGAGAACAGAAACCATAAGAGGATCCCAATAACAATATTGCTGCAGTTTCCCATCTACAGCAGAACTTTGAACTCAATAAAAGCAGGATCAGTTTCCCTTATCTATCACTGATTACATCTGAATCATTGTGACTAGCTTATGACTTCTTTAAAAAGTCAATGAGGTAGCTGTGTGACCCCAGGCAAGTCACTTAATCCCAATTACCTCACCAAAAACCAAAAACAAACCAAAAAAGAGTCAATGAGGGTTGGGGACAGTCTCCTCCTGAGTGTACAGTTATCATCAGTATCATTCAGGTGGTCAAGCAGAAATGGAAATTGGTCTCAATTTCCTCATCTATTAAGTGGAAATAATGCCTGCCATATCTCCCACATAGGCATGTGGTCAGGATGTAATTGCTAATTAACATGTGAAAGAAGTGCTTTATCACTGTAAAGTACCAGATGACATAAGATCTTGTTATTTTTACCTAGGTGAAATGAGGTTGGAAGGAATGTGAGGGCAAGCTTTATTTCCAGGGGGCTGCCCATTAGGTGATGAATTCTTTGGCCCTGGCAACCTGTAAAATAAAAACACAAAATGGTCCTCAGTCTTCTGCAGACACTCCTCAAACTTTACAGAGACAGTGGCAGATTGAATGTGTGAATGAATGAATGTGTTTGTTAAACTATGTGTGAGCACTGGCAGAGCAGAAGAGGGGTGGAAAACGTGGCAGAGGGTGCTTAGAATTAGGCAGTTTTTAGACTGTCTATAAACTTTAACATGGAAGTTGGCACTCTAAATGTGAGATCCTTGTCCTATATATGACCAGTGAGTGGCTATGCTGCTGAAGGAGCCAAATCACATCCATCTTTACATTCTTGTATAACGGAAGCCAGAAGAAAAAAAAATTAAAACTAATTGGAAGGCTGGTTCATAGGGGCTCCTTGGAAAGGCAAAAAAAAAAAAAAGAGTTGGAGAAGTTGATCTTATATTCAGAGACAACGAGAACTATTACATGAAATTTAGCCATTTGGTATTATAGTGCTTATGAAAAGTGTTTGCAAAAAGACAACCATGAAAATAATTGCAATTTATACACCAACATAAGTTGCAGAGGACTAAGAGGTAAAGACAATTTACAAAGAACTTACTGATACCCCAACAAATTAAATCAACATACACCATGATACCTGATGACATCAGTGTCAAATTGGAATAGCTGAGGAATACAATGGAAAGCCTGGGTCACGAAGAAGGAATATGAGAAGCCGATGACTGCACAGAAAATTCATGAATTAATATCATGAATAATTTCTTTAAGAAAAGAATTGGTAAGCACTAGATATGGTGGGCATTAAATATGATCACAAAGAATGAAAAGAATTACACTTTAGCAGACGGTGAAAGATTTATTATTGACATAGGAATCACAGGATCATACAACTAGAGGTAGAAGGGACTTTAGAGGCTGTCTTACTCAACACTCTCATTTTACAGATGAGGCCCACAGTCACAGAAGTAGTAAGTAGTAAAGGCAGGATATGAACCCAAGTCTTTTACCTCAACATCCAGCATTTTGTTGTTGTTGTTGAGGCAATGGCGGGGTTAAGTGACTCGCCCAAGCTTACACAGCTAGTAAGTGTCAAGTGTCTGAGACTGGATTTGAACTCTGGTCCTCCTGACTCCTGGACTGAAGTTCGATCTACTGAGCCATGTAGCTGCCCCAAACATCTAGTATTTTCTCCATTCTAATATGAAGTCATTACTGAATTAGTTAGGTATGTACAACCAGACCACCAACTTGTCAGAACAAAGATCAGAATTAATAAAGAGCTAGATGGAATAATAAAAATGAGAAAAAGATATGGCACATACTTAGGACCACTCAATCATGAATTATTTAAACTACTATTAAAAAATAGGTAATAGGAGAAATGACATTGACACCATTCATAATAATTTTATACAGAAGTTTAACTGATGTAAATTAATTGTCGTAACAAGGAGATAAAAAGAGCCTTAAAAGCACTTGTTAATCAGCAAACGCCTAACTCACTTGCCAAGAGGAGACGGGGACCACGAGCAATACACATTTAGAATAGGATCTCATTTGTCAAATCTTATGACTAAGCTGATAGATGACGGTGAGCAGCATTACCTAATAAAGCAGAAAAGCAACATAGGATAAGCTTTTAAAAAGCTGAGTAAGATAGTCAACTAAGCAAAGTTATCCTGTGTGCATTTAAGGATGGAAACGGAAGGAGGACAGCAAACAAGAAAAGTGGAAAAGATCTGCAGAGAGTTTTATAATAAAATTTTCTCTGTCAAGGACAACAGAACCACCACACCTGGAATCCTAAACAAACAAACAAACAAACAAACAAAACTGATTCTCCCACATCCTCCTTGTTAGCCAAACTGGGCAAACACTCTGATCCTGTGATTTTCATCTTTATCAAGCAATTGAGTACTCAAAGATCCCAAAGCATATATAAAGGGGGGACTGGTCCATGAGAACCCATTTTGGCAGAGCCCCAGTGTTGCTTAATGGATAGCGCACTGGGTCTGCAATCAAGGAAGATCTGAGTTTAAATCCAGCCTCAGACATTTACTAGCTCTGTGACCCTACAAAAGTTACTTAACCTATATCTGCCTCAATTTCCTCAACTGTGAAATGAAGATAATAATAAAAAGCCTCTCAGGATTGTTGAAAGGATTAAATAAGATAATATTTGTAAAGTGCTTAGCAAACTGCCTGGCACATAGTAGGCACTTAATAAATGCTCTAAAAAAAACCCCATAACAGTACAGTTCTAGATGTGCTTATAGAGGAAATAGAAATTGCATTAAAAAGGACAAAGACAGGAAAAGCAGATGGATTGGATCTTGGAGAATACTGTGTGGGAGGTGACAATATGGTGAAGCTAAGCTGCTTGAGAGCAGGGGCTATCTTTTACCCTTTGTTTCATCAGTGCTTAGCATAGTGTGTAGCACACAGTAGGCGCTTAAATGCTTGTTGATTGATTTACTGACTATTGAGGAACTGATTCACAAAGTATCTGGAGAGGAAGACACTAAAGGTCTGGGAAAAAAGATCTGGAAAAAAAAGATCACATTGAAAAAAGGTAACTGAGAAAATGTCTATATATTTATGTTCCTATCTGTTAAAAATCTTTATAAGACTCTTGTATACATGCATCAAGGGCTTTTAAAAAATACACTATTTTTAGATTCAGAGTTGGCATGAGTAACTTTAAGATGTCATCTTAATACACGAGACATGTAACAAACTAGTAAAAGGGTAGATTTTAAAGACAACTTTTTAAAAGATACAGAGATCCCACAATCTATGCTAATAATCCATCAGAAGAATTATATACAGGGGTAGCTAGGTGGTGAAGTGGATAGAGAACCGGCCTTGGAGTCAGGAGGACCTAAGTTCAAATCCGGTCTCAGACACATGACACTTATGCTGTGTAACACACACACACACACACACACACTCACACACTCACACACACAAAGCTCTCTCCTCAGTTATCTTCTGGAAAAATATGAAATCATCCTTTAAACTCTTCTTGTTCATACTAACTATCCTTGGCTTTTTTTTATAATCCTTTTTCTTCCCTTTTAAACAATTTTGTTCCTGTCTTTATTAACTGCCTTGTATCTATCTATTAATGAGCAAACAACAAATTGGATATACTACTCTACTAATGACCTAATCTTGCATGATAATATGCTCCAGTATCCTAGCTCCTTTTTATAAACATTTTCAAGTTTTCACATTACTCTTCTTAGATCTCTTTCTACCATTCATTCACTGCTTTAGCTTTGACTGTACAGTTTGGTGATTTCAGATACTTACTACATCTATTCTTGCAAACTTTATATTTAATAACTTCTTTGATTTCTAAAAATTCATTTAACTTCCTATCCTGTTTAAGGTTTTAGCAATTTCATGTGTCATTACTTTAAAAATTTTCTAAATTCTCCTGTAATTTAGACTACTAATAAATATAAACATAAACATTCAGCACCAGAAGCCTACCTACTTTCTGCGTCTCTCGGTTGATAGCAAGCCACTGGTCATCCTTGTTTACATGTATGTATTCTTGATTAGTATAACAGAGCCATGGGCCTATGAAACAACCTCTTTATCCTGAAATGAAGGCAGGCAATGTTGGTGATTACCTAGTAGATGCAAATTGTCTACTTTGCCCTGCACCATATTTTTTTTTAGAGCAGGTAGGTGGTACATAGTGCACAGAGGGCCAGACATGGAGTCAGGAAGATTCATCTTATGAGTTCAAATTTGACCTCAGATACTAATAAGTATCTGAGATACTTATTAGTGTATGTGTGACCCTGGGCAAGTCACTTCACTCTGTTTGCCTCAGTTTCCTCAGCAGTCAAATGAGCTGGCAAAGCACTCCAGTATCTCTGGCAATAAAACCTCAAATAGGGTCATGAAGAGTCAGACATGACTGAACAAGAACATATTTTTCTTGTTAGTGATTGGTTATTTCCAAGTTAGTTTAAGGACAGTATCAACTACACAAAGTTTTAAGAACTGAAAACAGAATTTGACAAAAGCAGTTAGCTAGTAATTTTTTTTTACATGTTTCTTTCTCTCCATTTCATGGGGTACCTTTCAACAGATGTAGATTTCTAAACAAGAGCATGAAGGAAAACAATGGATAGAAAGGAAAGGCCTTGAAGCCAATTCTGAAAATAAAACAAAACAAAAAAGGTAGCCTTCCCTATGATCCCTTTTGTTTCATAGCTTTAGTATCCTCAGGAACAAAAATGAACATCTCTTGTAAAATATTTATACATTTTTGCATGCTTCAATTTTTACTTAAATTTTAAAGCCTTTAATTGGTCACATAACTTAAAATGAGTTTTGGCCTTCCTTCTAAAGCACTAACTCCTATAAGCATTTTATAATTGTATTTAAATATCTATTATTTCTAAATCAACTTTGCTACATTGATTTTCAAATGATTGGTAGGATTGATTTTTATTGAATAGTCAAACTTATTGTCTATACATTTACTTCATTCTTACAAAACTAGATAGTTGTTTAGTTGTTTTTATTTGTGTCTGACTCTTCATGACCCCATTTGGGGTTTTCTTGACAAAAATACTGGAGTGGTTTGCCATTTCCTTCTCCGGGTCATTTGACAAATGAGGAAACTGAGGCAGGGTAAAGTGACTTGCCCAGGGTCACACAGGTAGTAATTGTCTGAGGCTGAAATTGAACTCAGATCCTCCTGACTTCATGCTAAACTAAACAATAAAATGTTTCTATCCACTATAAGAAAGAACAATTTGGTTGTTATGTTAAAGTCAACAAAAATTTCAGTGATTTGCTGCTTCTGACTATCAAAACTCCTTAAATTAATCTCATAATTCTATATTCCTAGCTAGGTTAGGTCAACTTTACATAGCTAGCAGGATGAAATTAAGAGGTACTTAGAAATTAGAATAAAATTTAAAATTTAGTTATGAACATTGAAAAGCATAGCCATTTGGCAGAATTAGAAAAGAATATTCAAATCTTGTAAG